CACTATTGTACCCATTAAGGAGAAATTAAGAGACCTCACACACTGGTGGGAAAACATCCATGCATCAACTTTCTGAACCTGAATACCTGGGGGGGCGGTGAATCATGCATACATTCGAATTCTGAGATTTCTCAAAGGTCGCTGTGAGTATTGGTCCTCACACCACAATAAGTCCCCATGATGTGACAGTTAACAGATTGGTCCCCACAAAGACATCAAACCAGAAAACACACTTGCTCAATAAAAAAAAAAACAACCCCTTCAAACTTAATAGCTGCTGCATGTGCATGTTATGGGGTTTCCCCTCCTGATTTATGGTCCCCACACCACAAATGGTCGCAAGTTGGCATGAAAACTGAAAAAAACTTGGACCATAGCATCAAAGTAGCTCCTGCCATCATCCCAAGTGGTTTGTTTCATTGACTGTAATACCACATTTGTGGTCTCCGGAATATCCTTAATACCACACACACATCGGTGGCCAAATGGGCCAGTACTAAAAACTTCAGCTATCTTCACAATACCTGCTACATGCATATTATGAGATTTGTTTTTGGGTCCTCACAATGTGGCTGTTAACAGAGTTTTGTGACTACACAAATTCCTGAGAACACAGACACACGACTGAATATGAGCTCCTCATCTACGATGTCTCCTGCTCCAGACAGCGTTGATCACTGATATAGGCTATTTATCAAGCACATTCTCCTCCAAGGCAAACATGACATGTTTTATTTGACTTTCTTATTTGATTTGATGCCTTATTGATTCAATATGCCTGCTGGATGTGAGCGAAACTAGAACAAAACAGAATAATCACAAGAGGCACAATTTTAGAAACGAAGAGTTTATTCTCTACTTTTTTTGTTTGCGACTACAGAAAAGTTGAACGATTTAATTCCACACTGAAAAAAAGCTGGATGACATCACTTGCCTTCTTAAGTCCTGTTGTCTTTTTTGGGGGTTTTGTCTTGGTTTGCTTACCAATCACAACGATGATATTGCACGGCACTGAGAAAGCAGTCGCAAAAGCTCCCTGGGAGGGAATACAGCAAATCAAGTCGCACATGGGAAACCAACGCGATGACACGCACTGCAAACTGAAAACGCAACATGAATCCAAAGAAAACAACTGAAAAACACATTGATTATCAAAGGTGGGGAACCATTTACCGAGAAGGGGCCAGACTAAATCTTTGTTAAAAAAAAAAAAAAATTATACATATATTATAGTATATATTAATTATACAATAATTTCACCTGAGATCAATTATGAAAAATATATGTCCATCCATCCACCAATTATTCGAGTTGCATTTCTTCACGAGGGTTGCGGGCGTGCTGGAGCCTATCCCAGCGGTCTTTGGGCAGGAGGTGGGGGACACCCTGAACTGGTTGCGAATATGTCATTCTAATGATTCTCTCCTCGATCATCTATAACTGCTTCAAACAACAAGGCGTGTGCAGGAATAGTAGTTATGATTGCAAGACTGTCCATGTCGTATGTGTTCCGTTGTATTATTAATTTGTTATTTTATATTAACTGTTCTGTGAAGCGTTTTGTTACGGCTGCATCAGTTGTGAAAGCGCAATATAATTGAAGATGTATTGTATATTATATTGTAAACAGTAGATTGTCTTTAAAATATATTATACAAATATCAGGTCGTTATTTAAAAGATAATCAAACTCATAAAATAATAAAAAATAATTTGAAAATGTAAATAAATGGGGTCCAAATCTTGAGTATTTCAACATTTTCATGTTTTGTAATTAATATTATAACAATCAATCATTATTTATATGAAAAAAATTATTTCATTTATTTATATGCAATTTATAAAATAAAAATTCGAAAATTTATCAAATTTAACAACTTTACTAAAATGTAACATTTTGACAGAAAATGTAATAAAAATAGTCCAAAATGAGGTAAAAATGAATAGATTAAATTTATCTTAACATTTCAAATTTCCAAGAGCCACTGACCTCAATATCAATTTTGTATAACCGTTTAAGCAAGATTTCACTTTGTGTATGAGATATAACAAATACCAAAGTTCCCTGCAAATTTAGCAAATGTCCAGTTTATTCCCATGAAAAGTTTACAACTTGTAAGTCTAGTAATGATCTCTTGAAGTCTTTGGCATGACAAAAAAGGACATCGCACCGACAACAATATGCAGTAAACATAAAATAATAATAATAATAATAATAATAATAACAATAATATAAATAACACGGACATTCCATCAAACCAACACACACTTGGGAACTGATTCCGAGCGAGCTTTTTTGCACTTTTATTAGACTTTGCTCATATTCATGACATAAGTACGTAAATAACAGATACTTGATGAGGCAAGGCAGCAGGACCACGTCTGTTGAAAAAAATACAAGTTAGAAAAAAATAATAATAATGAAAAAAAAAAAATCTCCGTGGCACAGTGCCCTCCTCCTGGCAGACCGGCTGCCCGGCCCCCACTTCACCCGCCACTCGTGTGTGAACATGAAGGCAGCAAAGTGGGCAGAACTTGAAGCTTCCCAATTTTTCCAGCAGATTGTACATTTTGGACAGGAGATTCCCTCACACGACTACGCCTTCGACATCCTATACCCGTGAGAATGGCAAATATATATTAAAAAAATAATACAAATAAAAAAGTCTACCTCAATAATGCCAGTGCTTTTCAACATTATACATCGTTTTCACCATATTTTGGGGGTTCGTTTTAAAAATCTTTGGATGTGCAGTACTGTAATACCCATTTAAAAACAATAGAAAAACACGTATACATACAAACACTGTTCAAGAAATTTCAGCTTTTTTGGGGGGTGGGGATGGTCGTGGTGACGGCAGTGTTTAAAACACATGGAAATGCCTCACAAACGTAACGCTGTTTTTCTCTTTACCCCCTCCCCCTACAGTAGTATATACAAATCTAGAATTTCTACAAATGCATAAATTAAATTATAACAGTGGTTAAGGAAAGGGGGGAAAAAATTAACTGAAGAAACCACAGCACAGAAGTAGAGAAAAACGGGTGGGGTGGCGGAATTTTGAACACGTCACAATAGTTGGTTTTACCCTGTTAAAAATCAATAGTCTACCATCATAACTGAGCCGCTGAGAACTTGAGTGGGCTAACTCCGTTTTTGCCATTTGTAAGTTAAGTGCAGAATTAAAGAGAGAAAAGGAACCTTCGTGCTGTACTTCCAATTTTGACCTACAGGAGACAGTCTATTATTTCACCAAGCACTTAATTACAGTCTATCTCGGGTAAGAGTGCATGTGCATCTTCAAATAAGTGATTGTTATTGATCATTGTTCATTGACACGTGTAGACCATTGCTGCACTAAAAAAAAAAAATCATGAAAGCAAATAAAAATAAAAATAATAATTGTGAGTTCGCATACTGTCGTTCTCAGCGGCTCAAATACGACCCAAAATATACTTCTCCCTCCTTTCAATATACATCAACCCTGAAACACTTCTTGAAACAACAACAAAATGCGGAAAATCTATCACACTTGGTCGCAGAAAGTAGGCAAAGGAATCCGTCACTATGAGGTATTCATTCAGAGACATTTTGGAAAAGACATGCACGGCCAGAGTGAGAGAAAAAAGTGGCGGAGATGGGGAGGGAAGGAGGTTCGACAGAGTCGCTTTGGTATGACTTCATTGCATGCGCTGGCGATGAAAAAAAAGTGATTTTAAGCAGAGGAAAAAAACAGGGGGCGGGGTTTCCTTGGGCAGTGGCGGCCCTTCGACAGGCTTGAGGTAATTCAAAGGAGAGAAGAGAGGTCAAGAGCGGTTCAACACTTTGGTTCAAGCAAGGCACTCGTCCTGGGAGTGTGAAGGAGGAGAAAGAGGAGGGGAGGATTGCGACGCTGTCAGGAGCATGAGGAGGATGAAGAAGATAACCCCCCCCCGCCCCCCCGCCCACCCCCCAAGCAAGCAGGAGGCAGAGGTTAGGAGGAGGCACAGTGGAACCTCGGAAGTTGAAAGTTGGAATTTGAGCAACAAAAAATAAATAAAACTGCAAGTGGGATTCTCGAAGTGCTGTACAAGTTCCACTGGTGGTATTCGGGCTCCCTCTAGCGGTACGTAAAATAATCGCTGCCTAAGTACAATTCAGTTGTAATTCATTTTGAAGTGTTTTCATCTTTTCATTTTGTTTTTATTTAACTTTTATGTGCAGTCTAAAAGATTAATAGACAAGTAAATCAATTAAGGTGTTTTCCAATATCCAAGAACAGTACCAGTGTTCTAAAATAATGTTATAGTGTCCTCCACTAATATTAAATATAGTTTTTAGGAAGATAAGCCCGGTCTGTTTTTTAGACTTAAAGCTAATTATTTTTGTAGGCGGTGGTTGAAAAGGCACTGCACTAAAAATTAAGAAAACAACAAAGGACACTGTGTGTTTGGCTTTTTTGTTAGCTGTTTTGGCAGCAAAACAATGCAATGAAAAAAGGTGAGAAGAGAAGATACTGAATTTAAAAAATTAAGATGACACTGAATTGTTTTTAATTAAGATTTGTTCATATTTTTATGTTTCATAACTCAAATATTAATTAATTATAATTCCTTTGAGTCGGAATTTGGGGGGGATATCGTGTGAAAAAAATGGAAATCTGCTTTTAAAGTAGTTTAGTTTTGCTTGACTTTAGAGGTTCCACTGTGTATGTTTATTAGCAAAGAACCACTTTTCATAATTTTCTTGACAGCTTTTACATGTTCTGTGACAAATTTGGAGATTTAAAGGGGAAGTCAACTCAAAAATGTTCTCGACAATAATATGTTCTATGCGGCCCCACTAATCTAAACACGATTAATATTATGGATCAATTTGCAAAATCCGCAACGACAACGACTGTCACGGCTCACCTGATTTCTGGGTTTGGTCACGTGTCATTCGCAAGATGAGCCCTTTGGCATTGTGATGTCATCTTGAGTCGACAGCAAGTGGCAAAATAGATAATTAAAGATGGGGAAAAAATATGGGTGCACTTTGCTTCTTGATTCATATTCCACAAACACAATATTCATCAGAATGCCGTATTTAAACAAAATTTTGACTTGGTTTCCCCTTTAACTCCTACATATGTGCAGTATATATGGCAGGAAGTAAGTTGACTGCGAGGTGCCACCCCCCGCATGTGCCAGTTTGAAAGTGTTAGAGTTTGTGGAGTGAAATGTAATTTATGGAAAGCCTTTATTTTCCAACAGAAAAGCAAACATTTCCAAATCTTGTGTCTTTTTCCCCACCGGCCACAAAATTTGAACATACAGTGTTCCCTTACTTTTCGCAAGTGATACATTCCAAGCCTGCCCACAATTGGAGGATTTCCACAAAGTCGAGGTGGACTTTTTTTGGGAGGGGTAGGGGGGGATTTACGAGGAGATTTACAACCTTTCAGTCTCTCCGAACACACACACTCTCAGAGTAGTGCATGGGCGTCAGAGTGAATTTCCGAACGCAACCCTAACGTCCATGGTCTCGGTTTTATCTGTTTCGTAAAACAGATTTACCGCTGGAAAAAAAACATTTCTTGACTGATTCGACGAAGAAGAAAGAAAAAATAGGAATAAAATATACGAAATAACCATGTGAAATTGAAATCAATCAAGTTATGTTCACAAATAAAAATCCGTGATAGAGTGAATCCGCAATAACCGAACCGCAAAGTAGCGAGGGAACACTGTAAATGCTTTTTGTTGGACAACAATAGTATATTTCACGCCACCAATGTGACTATCTACAGAGCGAGAATCGAGAGCAGGATCGCACTTGGGGAAGATGTGAAGGCAGTGTGTGTGTGCGTGTGTGTGTGTGTGTGTGTGTGTGTGTGTGTGTGTGTGTGTGTGTGTGTGTGCGCGTGCGTGTGTGTGTGTGCGCGCGTGCGTGTGTGTGTGTGTGTGTGTGTGTGTGTGTGTTTTACAACATTTTCACCACCACTCACAGAGGCCGTGCATTGAAAAAAGAAAAAAAAAAAGCAACAACAAACCTTTGGTTATCTTTGGTATCGTCAAAGTGATAGAAATCACATATGGAACTTGAGTGAGGTAGCATCTTTGGTTTCACGCTAGAAAACATCAGCAGGTGACACATTGTTTGGTTGGGTGTTCAGGAAGCGTCTCTATCTTTTTTTTCTGCTCCTTCTGATAAATGTAGAGCTGCTAACTGTGGCCTTGAGGAAAACAAGGAGGAGGAGGAGGAGGAAGAGGAGGATGACAAGGGGCCCGGCTAATTTATCAAACATGTTACGCTTCCCCATGTGTAGTGCTTTCCTCCTTGTGCTGAAATGCATAGCTTTCCAGGCTTTGGATTGTTGCGGGAAGGGAAAGGGACCTGATTGGACCATTGATCTTGTCCACTTGACATGTTTGATGGACACGCAAATCAATACAATAAATAAAAGCAACACACGATATTTGACTCACAGTGACAACACGTTTTGATTGGCCTTCACAGCGAGCGTTAACAGTAACATTCCACACCGCTCGTTGCGCGGATAAAACTGATTAACAAGGCATCCATAAGGCAAAAAGTTTGACTCTTGTGTCACGCTAAAATGATTTAAATGTGATTTCGGGTGTGAAGTCACTGCTAAGTGTAGTGGTTCACATACATTTTTCTTTGGTTAAATGTGAGCTGGAATAGGCTCCAGTTCTTGCCCTGATCCTGAACAGAATAAACTCCCAAAAGGAAAAAAAAAACACGGAAAGTTAGGAATGTTGTACAAATAATGTGACCCCAAACACAATAAATGCAAAAGAAGGATGCATGGACTAAGAACATACCAACATGAATAATGTAGTGGTTCACATTTCTTACCATTATAATACCCGATAAGACCCTAAACAGGATGAACGCTACAGAAAAATCGATGGATGAATGGACGAAAATTCAAGCGTGTTGAGTTATTAGTAGTATAGTGGTTTGCATGGTGCCTTGACACCAGCACCTGACATGCCCCCTAAACCCTCCCAAATTGATGGACGATTACATATGTTGCACTGTTGTTACTGCAGCAAAAAAAAAACAAAAAACAAAAGAAAAAATTCAGATGGATAACTGGTTAGGAATATTGCAAGATGGCTAGTGTAGTGGTTCACATAGCTTCGAACAGCTCTAAATCAACTGAGATATGCGCCTACTGACAAGCTGAATATGGTAAAAGTTCAACAAAACAGATGGATGGATGACTTACCAATAGTGCTTCATGGGTAGAGTAGCGGTTCACATAGCAACTGCCCTAAATCAACTGGGATATGCTCCTGCCGTAACCCTGAACAGAATAAAGAACATGGGAGGATGTATGACTGGGAATGTAGCAGCAGTGGCTGGGTTAAAAAAAAAAATTACAAAATATCTTTGGTCAATAGCACCGCTCTCGCATTTTTTTTTTTTGTGGAGGCTACATGAGTGAGGCTTTGGTTTCTCTGGTTTAAAAACGACGTTTCAGCACGTCGGAAGGAAAGCACTACATCGTGATCCAGGGTTGGAATTTGGGGCTCGCGGTCTACGCGATGGAATTGATTTCCTCCTGTTTACTATCCATGGATCCGGGAAAAGACGTCAGTCCGCGCTGTTCGGCGCCACCTCCGGCGGTCAGCAGGGATGAAATAGAAATTAAAAAAAAGCAGTCGCTCCCGTGGGATTTAAATTTCTTTAACATTGATTGGCCAAATCCCACTGGAGCTCCGCAGATCAGACTGATTAGAACATCCATTTTGGGAGTCAAGATAGCGACAGTGGGAAGGGGACGCAGGGGTTGTCGTAAAGCTAGAGACCAGTGAGCGTAGGTGAGTACAAGAAAAGGGGGGATGGTAGTCTTTTTGCAGTGTGTAACACAAACAAGTCAAAGCAGGTCAAACAAGAAAGAAGAAGTCTTTGGTTTGTTTTTTTCTCTCATCTTTGGATACTATAAATATGAATGTAGTACAGATTTAAGGGCAAAAATGTGAGGTCTTTTGTAAGGTTCTCTTAAGTTTTAAAGCTTTTCCACCGAGTCGAGTCCATGAGTAAGGGTCAAAAGCGCACTCCCGGTCCTTCTTCAGGCTTTGGTGCAGGCGCTGAGGCCGACGCCGGGCGGGTGGCCGGAGCCGTCGTCGACCCACTTGTCCAGGCTGCGGCGGCGCGCGTTCATGAAGAAGTTGCTGACCGTGGCGAGTTCCAGGCCCAGCTGCTGAGCGATGGTCAGCTGCAGTTCTTTGGATGGACGCTTGTTCTCCTTGAAGATGGCGTGGAGGGTCCGCCGTTGCACGTCCGTGAACACCAGGCGGGGCTTCTTGGCCGCCGGGTTGCCCCGTTCGCTGCGGCCATGGTCCTGTTCCTTGCGCTTGCACGCTGAGGAGAGGCCAGTAAAGACAAAAGGGAGCAGGGATGTGAGTCGTCAGAAACCTCTCTCACGATGCAAACATCGCCCCATACCACAATAGAATTATTCAAATAAGACATTTCAAATATTAAAGGCCTTTCTTGATCTGATCAAACAATAATTCAAAATTAGAAACATCTCTGACTTTGACCAAAGCCATTGAAATGAATGAAAACGCCACTGATCCAGTCCAGCCAGCCAAAACCCTCACAAAAACATTTGGAATGTGTTTTTAATGAAAATATAACACTCTACAATGTTTTATTTTATAAAAACATACAGTCGTAACGTCATGAAACACAATCTATCCATCCATCCATGTTCCGATTCACTTTATCTTCACAGGGGTTGCGGGGGGTACGGGAGCCTATCCCAGCCGTCTTTGGGCAGTAGGCGGGGGACACCCTGAATCGGTTGCCAGCCAATCGCAGGGCACACAGAGACGAACAACCATCCACGCTAACACTCTCACCTCGGGACAATTACGAGTGTTCAGTCAGCCTGCCATGCATGTTTTTGGAATGTGGGAAGAAACCGGAGTACCCGGAGAAAACCCACACAGGCACGGGGAGAACATGTAAACGCCACACAGGGAGGCCGGAGCTAGAATTGAACCCGGTACCTCTGAACTGTGAGGTTGATGTGCGAACCACTGGATGCCTTTGTGGTTACTGTTTTGTTTGCTTCCAAGCCTTTGTTGTTGAGAAGTGGATACTGTGTGCATTTTGAGCATGATACTCTTCTGTACATTTGCTCAGTAAAAAAAAAGACATTTTCACCCATTTAAAAAAAAAACCTTTTGGTCACACATCTGGTTAGGAAGTGTGAGGTCCTATGTGGCCGCCTAGCAGCGCTGCTGAAACATTTTGGCCCTCTCTGTCGTTTATGTTGCCTATCCTTGCCTGAGGCTATTTCTGAATGCTTTGTTCGCAGTCACTGGAAATAACAGCAGCTGCTGTGTGACCTGGTGTACTCCACTCAATACCTTTGCTCTGTACAAGTTCTTCTTTCTTTCAAGAAATGAACTATAAAGGCAGCTTGCTGTGTTTTCCAGTATTTATGACAGCCACACACGTCTCATGAGTTATATTATAGGGTGCCCGGCTATAACGTCATGTAATGATCTGATAAGGAGTCAGCTGCCATATGGAATAAATTCACTGTAACATCATTGATTTATTGATCCCTGTGGGAAATTTGCTATGTTAAGGTGACTGTCACAGACTAAAAATAGGCTCAGTACAAAAAACGGGCTAACTATTAAAAACAATATCAAATATGAGAAAAAGAAATAAATCAAATGAACCCAGGTAATATTGGATGGGCGCTGGCACCTATTTTCGGCTTACAACCTGGACTGGTTGGCAAGTCAGTTGCAGGGCACGTTCAGTGTAGACAAACAAACATTCAAACTCATGTTCATCCCTATATGGACATGTTTTGAGGTTTCGATGAACTTAACATGAATGTTTTTGGAATGTGGGAAGTGGCCAGAGAAAGCCAACACAGGGGACTTCTTAACTGTGAGGTAGATGTGCAAACCACTCGCTAACCATGATGCCCTTGTTCAAGGGTTCTATTACTCCACCTCTCACTAATATTTGAAAACGGCGCTAAAAGGGGGCGTTTTCTGGACTCCAGACAACCTTTGAGACTCTGGAGGACTCTCGGTCTTGTGAGGAGGGAGATGGTTGGGCGTGGTCTAAAGAATACCACCTAAGACTAAAGTACGACCTAAAAAAAATCGTTTCTATGCTATGTTCAAAAATCACAAACCCGAAAATGGTAATAAAAATGTTCGCAAACGCTACTATTCCAATTCCAACTCACTACGGAGGTGTGTACGAGTTTGAGTGTGTTCTAGATGCCATGGAGGTAGAGCATTTACGTCAGGATTCCGGAAGTGGTGTCAGAAGGCCCTGCTTGTCCAATCCAGACGGGAGAAAGCCACAATAACATGCAGTGCAGTGTTTAACCTGAGGATGGCGCCACACATGTATTTTTTTTCTGCCCCAAATTCAAGACTTCAACAAACATGCACTAAAATGTCAATAATGACGAGGACTTGTGGGAAAAGATTAGTAGACTCGGGTTTGTACAATTTATCAGCCCCTTTAAGAATAATGAAAAATGAAATGTTCCAAACATCTTTCCGGAGCATCCAGCTAAATGTAAATTGCACAGAGCACCACAATTGAGAGGTTCTAGGTTCGATCCCCCCCCCCCCCCCCCCCCCCCCCCCCCCCGTTTTTTTGACCACGACAGTGCTGATGAACAGCAACAGAGGGGAAAAAACAGTGGCTTCTGTCCATGGTGCTGAAAACACGAAGTCGCAAAAAACTCACTCGCAAGTGAGCTGGACCCCATCGTCAGGAACACCCTGAACTAATCACCAGCCAACCGTAAGATTACATGGACAAACGTCCATATCCATGCATATTCACATCCGTGCACAAGTTGGAGTTTTCGGTGCATCTCACGTTCACATTTTCCAATGCTAATAGTGAACCAACGCAACAGGCAAACTCCATAAAGCAAGGCTGAGAGTCGAACCCAGAACCTCTTGACTGTGTGGCAGATGTGGCTATACTACCAAACACATCGTCCTGCCTACACCACACAGACCCTCAAGAAAAGAAGCAATTCAACGAACGAACGGATCTAGCTACTTTCCATCAAATTTTTTGGGAGGCTCACTTCTCCCATTCAAGGAGCGATCTAATAGACCGGGAGAGCACAGACTTGGGTGGCTCATAAGCACACCAGAAGCTATTAGAAACATCTCAATTGAGTCCATGAAAAACAATCAAGGTTTTGCTCTTACGCTCAGTTGTTGTTGATATGTTGAGAAACAGGGAATCCGAAATGCAACCACAATAAACATGTTGCTCTGAGAGTGCGTCAAAACACATTTGACTTTTAATCATTTTCACCAGTTTATTTTCAAGCTCAAACTTGGCGCCCTCGTACCAGATTTCAGCACACGATAAGTGGAGCCGGATTATAATAACAATCATAATAATAATAATAATAATAATAATAATCATAATAATAATACCCATGACCAACAATGCGTGTCCCCTAGTGCCGCTAAACATTAACTCCTAGTGCAGAAGCTGCTATAATAAATCAGGAGGAGTGAAGGCCACGGAGACAGGGGGAGAGACCTGGCACGGCCTGGACATCGGCTCGCAACACATACACAGCCACACACACACACACACACACACACACACACACACACACACACACACACACACACACACACACACACACACACACACTGTGGTTGATCCCAGCTAATCATTACAAGCAGCAGGGATAACTACACACTGTGGTCCACTGGGTTTTTTTTTGGGGGGGGGGGTTGCCTAGAACTAACAATATAATAATAATAATAATAATATTCGTTATTATTATAAACATAATTGGGACCTGGAGTGGGCAGATGAAGTTGTTTTCCTGATATTAATCTCCAGTTTATTTACAGGAACCAGTTGAGATACAATGTGGGAGAGAAAATGGAACTTTCTTTAGTTTGAAGGGTGTAAGCACACTTGGTCAATTGAAGTTTTGTGGAAACCGAAGCTAAGAATTTATATTTTGGTGAAAAATCATATTGGTCCCGAACCATATATGTCACACCTGACAAGCGATCAGTGTGTGTTCAGTTGAGGTGTGGGACCTTGCTTGTGTCTCTGGCTCTGGAAACTGGACGTTTCCACTCCATCCCAGAGGAGGAGCAGAGTTGTTGTTTGTGTCAGTTAAATGATATTGAAATTAAAATGGTATTTTTTTTGTTTTATTGTCCTCTACATCATGGCTTAAGAAGACTATTTATTCTACAAACTGTCCAATGTGGCTGTCTGCAATGCCAGATGAGGAAAGACTCAAGTATCTATTTAAGTATAAGCATATTATATGGTTCAGTTTGTGACGGAAGGGGAGGGGCCTCTTTCTTTGACATATTTGTGAATGCCTGCCTATTTTTGTGTTTAAAATCTCATGTGGGCCGGGCACCTTTGGTGGTGCATGACACTAATAAGAAATAAACTAACCATATTTATACAGTAGCAATGTTGGGCAACATATAGCTCGTGGGCCATATCCTGATCTGGAGAACATTTGATCCGGCCATTGCAATGCAGGACATTTAGCTCAAATGTTCATGATTTACACTAATAAGAAACATTTATTTGATTGTTGCATTGTATTTTAGCATTAGTTTTGTATGGCCTAGATCTGATTTTCTAAAAACCATAAGTACCAAACATGTTATTGTTAGACAGCCAGACTATGACTAAATACATACAAAAAATACATTATTTAAAAAAAATGATGAATGTGGATAGATCCAGCCATGTTTTTTTTTATTCCATTAGATTCTGTTCTGCAATTTTGAATGCATGGGGTGGAATTGTATACATGAGGGAAAATGAGAAAAGGCCTGAGATTAATTTCAGAAGGCCAAAATCAATAAGCATGTCGCATCAAATTCAGCACAGTGTCTTTCGAAAACACTCAGGGGATGACCAAATTAACAAGGCAATACCCAGTCCTCATAAATATCCAGAAATATATCATTAGCATTTTTGAAATTGTCCTGTGCAACTTTCATTTTGAAACAATTTATCTGAATATTTGAAGCTATGGCCATGTCGTGTGATTTAAGGGCCATTTAAAAAATAAAAATATTGTCTGAATGATAACAATGATGAAATCACATTTGAGGACATAGCCGAATGCAATCGTGATTCCTGAGCCTTTTTTTAAGTAAAAAAAGGACATTTCCTCTCCAGATTAAATGATTAAAATAAAAGGAAATGCACTAATATATTAAAAACGCACAATCATTTGCCTTCCGTATTTAAAAAGTACTCACATTTAAATGCATTTCTTCTATTTTTTATTGTACAATTGTAAATAAAGTTCTCACGCGCACACACACAACAGCAGAAGCCTGGAGAACTAATCAATGGCGATGAAATACACGCATACGCACCAGCGCGCACACACTCACGCTTACAATAAAGTCCGCGGAATTACCTTTATTTCCAACTAAAAAACGCACACATGCGCAGCCCATCGATTAGCCTCATTAATTTTGGGAAGAAAAAAAATCATTTTGAGTCTGTGTGTGCGTGTGTGCGTGTGTGTGTGTGTGTGTGTGTGTGTGTGTGTGTGTGTGTGTGTGTGTGTGTGTGTGTGTGTGAGTGATTGAGTGAGCGAGTGAGTGCGCGCACGCACGTGTGCTTTAATGGACTCCTGACTACCACAGGGACAAATTAATATGGGGGGGGCACACCACAGTCGGGAATAAATAAACATAACCACCACTGAACTTCAGTGGATTGTGGGACAATAAAGTCCCATTCAGGAAGGGATACAAATCACTGCACAAACAAAGGCCTGTAAATGTGCGCTGGGACCAAGAACAAGGCCAGAAAAAAAAAAAAGGCGGCTGCTCGGGTGCAAGTGTACACCAAAATAAAGACTAACGATTCCTCGTGCAAGGATCGACTTACTTTACAAGAGCACGGGGTCGATAGTGGGAGGTAAAACGACACCAAAAACGACCATGCACACAAACACCCGACACAACTAAATGAATAAAGAAAAAAAGGAAAGAAAAATATCAGCAGGCCACTCCTTAACCTATTTTAATTGGAATGCATGGAAAAATATAGAATCATGCACTTGGATTGATGTTTATAATCAATCCATAAGCAGTCAAATACGAGAATATAGCAAACACAAATCACTTTAAAGAACATTGACACTGAAGGCTACTTGTTGTTATTTATTGTGTTTATGTGATAAAAAACTACAGCAGTTTAAATTCCCAAAGCAATTGCATGTAAAAATACAATAAAGATGGAGCTGAATCAATCAAAGTCAAATACTAGAATAATGTAAGCTACAGCAAAACCGAAGACAACTTGCTGATATTCATATATGATTATGACCATATCACATAGGATAGTTGAATTGAAATGCTCGCAAAAATTGCCTACACTAAACTACAGTTGACGCATAAGCAATCGAATATGACGAAATCAATCACGTTATGTGCTCTGATTGCGAAACGAAACAAAAACGGAGTTTAAATTCCCAGCCCACTTGACCTGCTTATTGATTATTATGAATAATAAAGCAGCCTTGAGAGTCAATGCTGACGAGAGCAGCATGCAATTGTACTGAAAAGAGAAGAAAATGAGGCTTTACCGAGGCTTCGCTCACCTGCGAGCCTGAGCGCACTCATGCGCTGGAACTCAGGCTCCTGCAGCCACTTCCACATGCGGCGAAAGGTCTCTCTGCCGGACTTGAGCTTGGACCAGGGTTTGGGGTTCCTCAGCAGGTCGGACAGGGTCCCCTGACCACAGTCGGGAATAAATAAACATAACCACCACTGAACTTCAGTGGATTGTGGGACAATAAAGTCCCATTCAGGAAGGGATACAAATCACTGCACAAACAAAGGCCTGTAAATGTGCGCTGGGACCAAGAACAAGGCCAGAAAAAAAAAAAAGGCGGCTGCTCGGGTGCAAGTGTACACCAAAATAAAGACTAACGATTCCTCGTGCAAGGATCGACTTACTTTACAAGAGCACGGGGTCGATAGTGGGAGGTAAAACGACACCAAAAACGACCATGCACACAAACACCCGACACAACTAAATGAATAAAGAAAAAAAGGAAAGAAAAATATCAGCAGGCCACTCCTTAACCTATTTTAATTGGAATGCATGGAAAAATATAGAATCATGCACTTGGATTGATGTTTATAATCAATCCATAAGCAGTCAAATACGAGAATATAGCAAACACAAATCACTTTAAAGAACATTGACACTGAAGGCTACTTGTTGTTATTTATTGTGTTTATGTGATAAAAAACTACAGCAGTTTAAATTCCCAAAGCAATTGCATGTAAAAATACAATAAAGATGGAGCTGAATCAATCAAAGTCAAATACTAGAATAATGTAAGCTACAGCAAAACCGAAGACAACTTGCTGATATTCATATATGATTATGACCATATCACATAGGATAGTTGAATTGAAATGCTCGCAAAAATTGCCTACACTAAACTACAGTTGACGCATAAGCAATCGAATATGACGAAATCAATCACGTTATGTGCTCTGATTGCGAAACGAAACAAAAACGGAGTTTAAATTCCCAGCCCACTTGACCTGCTTATTGATTATTATGAATAATAAAGCAGCCTTGAGAGTCAATGCTGACGAGAGCAGCATGCAATTGTACTGAAAAGAGAAGAAAATGAGGCTTTACCGAGGCTTCGCTCACCTGCGAGCCTGAGCGCACTCATGCGCTGGAACTCAGGCTCCTGCAGCCACTTCCACATGCGGCGAAAGGTCTCTCTGCCGGACTTGAGCTTGGACCAGGGTTTGGGGTTCCTCAGCAGGTCGGACAGGGTCCCCTGGGACCGGCACAGGACGCGCTGGGCGAAGATGGCTTGGGGGATGCTGTAGCGCTTGAGCTCCGTGGTGATCCTCTGCGCCACCTCTTTGGTATTCACTTCCTCCATCTGGCCTCCTCCTCCGCCTCCTCCACCGCCGTTGATGGCTCCTTGCTGTCCGAGCGCGGAGGCCTGCTCCCGGCCGCCACTTAGCCCCTGGCCGTGGCCCTGCGCTCCGAGGTGGGCGTGCGGATGGTGATGCAGACCGTTCAACTGCACCATCCCCGCCGTGGAGCTCATGTGCTGCTCTGTGTGGCGGCCGAGCATGGCCGGATGGTGCGCCTCGAAGCCGCTGGGAGTCAGCATCTTCTCCCCGGGCATGGCGGCGCCCGGGTGGGCGTAAGGTGGTAGGCCGGCTTGGCTCGTGTGGATACCCGCAAGACCGGAGCCGGACAGCGGGGATAGACTCTGGCCCATGCAGGGGTCCTTGTGGTGGTAGGCGGGGTAGAGAGTGTTCATGGGAGCCAGACTGCGGTCCTCTCGCATGAGCGTGAAGCTGCCGCTGACGTTGCCCGGGATCCTCTGGTGCGGATGCGGGTGATGGGGATGCGGGTGTGAGGGGTGGTGGTGGTGATGATGGTGCGGGGGAAACTTGTCGGATACGGTGGAGATGGGGGGCAAAGGCTGCAGGGGGGTCAAGGTGGTGTAGGTGCTGCTGGCGCTCATGCCGGGAGCTTCGCACATGCTGATGGCCGGGTGTAGGTGTCCCGGATGATGGTGGTGATAGTCTCCGTTGTCCAGGAGGGTTGCCATACCCATGGCGCGGTGGCTCAGCCCCCGCGGGCTCGGACGCGAGTGCGGACTGTGGCCGCTCAGCAGCTCCCCGTGGCTGCTTACGGAGTCATGGCCGTGCAGGTCGCCTATATTTTCCATCGACAGCTGAGCATTCATGGTCCGGGCGGCTCTGTGAACCGACCATCTATGTGACCTGCTTAGCTGGCGCCCCCCACCCCTGAAAGTCGTAATAGTTAAATTCTTTTGTTCTTTTTTCTTTTTCTTATAATAAAAAAAAAATCTTACTACTTCGGTTCCGTCTTCTAAATCCACGCTTTCTTCATTGATAAATATTTATCTTTTAAATGCCTTGTATTATTTCTTTCCTTTGTAAATCAAGCCCCCCCACCACCAGCCAGCTGTCCTTGCGCTCCGGTCGGGTGCCGCGCCATATCTCTCTCTCGCTCTGTTTGTGTGGGTCCACCACTGCAGCGTCTGCACATGCGCACACCAAGTCTCTCTCTCTCTCTCTCTCTCTCTCTCTCTCTCTCTCTCTCTCTCTCTCTGAGTCGCGCCCCTTTGCATGACGTCACATCACACGCCTCACTTAAGGAAGACAGGTGGCATTTACGTTTTAATATATCTTCAATTTCTTGTACATGAAGGGTGGAGGATGTATGAAAAGAATAACGTGATTAAAAAAAAAACATCGATAAATCGCCCTCTCTCATTTGTGGGGGGCGGGGGGGGGGGGAATAATCGCTATTATATCCGGACTTTGTTATCGAGCCACCTTAAATTACGCAAAGTGCACTCCACTTCCGGGTTCATTTGCGGCTCCGTTCGCTACCCCCGGCCCCCTTAAACACTTTTCGACCTCTTCCGCAAAAATTTAAACTCGTCATTGATTTAATTCATGGTCACCTCTCAAGTTCACAGGCACTTGTTCATTAGGGCGGCAGCCCCCCTCCTGAACGACCCCCACCCCGCTCCCAACGCCTGTTTGCGAAGAATGTGGCGGTTTAAACCAAACGTAGGGAGACTGCGGTACCTTCGTCTTTGATAGACCACCATGAGCAGATGTGTCTATTGTTCAAATACAGGGCTTAACGACCCAAGCCTAGCACTGTGCGCATGTGTTTGGGTAAGTCACATTGAACCCTAAAAGTTAAAGAAATACATTTAATTATACTTAAATGCCATTTGAGCAGAAGAACACCTAATTTTTGAAAATAGGGCCAGATGACCGGTTACAGCTCTTGTTTCTTATAAAGTGCATGTTCTAATAATAAATCAAGGTATAATAGTAGCCTGTCAAGACCTAAATTGGATTGGGTTTTTTTTGCATGTTAATTTCAGTGTAAATGCTTATTTCAAAGTCACGTTCATACAAAATCCACAGTCAGTTGAAAAAATAAAATAAAATCTCATGTCTATGTAACCCCAAGAACTATCCAAAAAGTTGACCAAATTCTTTCTAATAAATGCGGATCAAACATAGTAATCAAATAGAAGTCAAATCTGCTTTTAGGGAAAATTTCACCAAGAAATGTAACTCAAATGTTCTCATATTTGGCTTTCTCAAAACTTGACCACATAGAAGAACGCAGTTTTGTGTAAAAAGTTGAAGATCATTGAACCTTAATAGATTTAGAGCGGCATCTAAATTGACAGACAAGACAATTTCTTCTGGCATAAAGTGCACGTATCTGTCACCTTACAATGTATCCATATCATCAGATAGTCATTCAACACAATACTACCAAGATATTGGCACTCAGTAACAAAGCAAATAAACAAAATACATGTAGAATATGGACGTGTCCCCCATCCCTCATGCATTCTTCAATTTGTCTGAATGGAAAAAAATGTGGAGCTGAAAGAGAAGCCCCTGTTTTACAGAAACTTATGTTGTTCAAAAACAGAGCCACAAGTTCAACATATGCACAGCCAGGGAGGAAAATACATTTTACATTCACAAAAGTGAGGCGCCGAGTAGGTGTCTCAAAACTAAAAGAAGAATTGTAATGCAACTTTTCATACCCCTCTAACTTTTTCAGAAAAGCGTGTAACAACAATCCAAGCAACTTTTTGTTGTGTTATTGGACACTCCCAGAAGATAAAGAAATCAGGAGCTATTCACCCATCTACAGTATGTCCACAGTGCAAATGAATGGGATATGCGTGAGGCCACCTCTGGCAATTTTAACAATATACTTTATGTTTAGTGACTTTTCAAACCCCTGTGGTGACTATTTAAAAAAAAAAACAACAAGCAACTTTTTGTGGTATAATCAGAAACTTCCGTAGACTTTTAGACTCCCTCCAGAGCAGGAGATGTTCACCCCTCAACCTGCAAAAAAAGGCATTTATGCAAAGCTATGACATTTAAAGGCGAAATGTGAAAAAAAACAAACAAACAAAAAAACGGCGGAGATATACAGTATGATACACATTCAAATTTATTTCGCACATTTCAGACAAAAGACAACCCAATGTGCTTCACAAACCCAAAGAAACAACACCTAAAAGCATTTACAAAGAGCACAGCTGAAGAGATGACAATTACAAAAAATTGTGAGCAAAGACCTTTCTTTCTGAAACAGCTCGCGATACACCAATGTGTCAAACTACCACAGTATAGCGCCAACTACTGCTGAGGAGGACTTACTCGATGTCAGATTGAAGTTGCCATGTGTGACACGTTCGAAGCTGCCTTGCATTGCATTGAAGGATCGGTGGCTGGTATCAGCAACCTGCATGAATATGATACCTTAAAATGAGGCTGGTATCGGCACCATTACCGATACCTGGTAGCAGTAATCACCCAACTGTAATTAGTGCAGCAGTGCATGACATTATCAAAACCAATTATCTCTTACCCGCAAACACAACATTCGAATGTTGGCTGCCTATCGGTATACCAGTTGGTATTACAGTGCAGTAAGTGTCATCCTTGAAAATGTCAGCTCTTCACTTGGAAAAACTTGGCGTGACGGCAATATGATGTGGAATCGCTACAGTAGAGTACACAGCAAAGATTTACTTGGTAGCTTAATTCATGGGTGGCCAGGCACTCCCAAAACTCAACTATTTGCATTGAAGTCATTAAAAAGTCTATTTTTGATAATACGTCTCCTTTAATGGAGGAACCCTGTTCACATGAGATCAAGGGCCGTTTAGACTAAAACGGCGGCAGGCGAGGCGACAGCTTGCAGTGGTCAGTACCCTGCTGGACTCCCCCTCGCCACTGAATGGGGGGACATGTCAAAGGTGACGCTTCAAGACTCCGAAAGCCAACATCTGCGGGTGTGTAGGAGAGCGGCCGGTGGGTGGGCAACGGATTAACCTTTCAGACTTTTCCCTGTCCCGGACCTGCTAAGGGGGCCCTCGCATCTGTCAGAGGGTCCCTACAATGGAGATGGCGCTCGCTTGAAACGACTCAAACAAAAGAAAAGAAGAAGAAGAAGAGAAAAAGGAGTTAAAGAAGTTAAACTGTCTCTGATGTGAAGTCAATGTCAACGCCGTGTGCGTGACGTGTGTCTGGACAGAAGGAGACTCAATTCTTTCCCAAAAAAAGTGTGCCTGACCAAGCGTGCTCAGAATGGACACACGGGCGCGCGCACACACACACACACACACACACACACACACACACACACACACACACGATTGGAAATGAACTGGAAATGCCAACACGCTGTCAGGACACACATTGTGATTTATAAGGTAATGTACACACAGTGTACTATCGGTGATTGACAGCGATGGGGAATTGTTGCATCACAGAAATCGTATTCAAGATGTTATATGTTAATATTACAATTCAATAAAATGCTTTCATTCTATTTTATGAGCATTTCTGGATAAAATATTTGTGAATTGCACAGCAGACCACAGTAAATGCTTACATGGGATAAATATGGCCCAGGGGCTTTAGGTTTCCTACCACAGACATAGTTAGACACCATTGATAGATAGATAGATACACGTTTATGTCTGAAAAGTTGACCGCTCTTTGAGTACACAAGTAAACAGGGAGTCCTTGGTTGAGCCCGATATACGAGGTTTTGTGGCCATGCAGATTATTTTATATGTATGGCCTAGAAGTGTTTTTCAGACAAATATTTACTGTACTTATGACTATAGTACATTATTAATGTAAGTTATACATAGACAGAGGCGCAGTCTTCCTATACCTTACGGTACACTGTACCGGGTACAGTCCCAACTTGTGTAAAAATGCGGGTTATGTCGCCGCCCTAGTATCAGAACTCCCTCCTAAACCGAAGACCTGCTGTCATGTATTGATGACATCACTGAATGACATTTCAAAGTCCTTAGTACATCTCTCAAAAGTACATATTTGTGTCACCGAACATGCCAATGCCATCAGAACAAGTCTGATGGTTACATGTGTGCGGATCGGACAGTCACAATGTTTAATCATCTTGTCAGGATAACAATGTACCCTGGAGGGATGTTTTGACGTAAATTGCTGCTTAAGTTTCATTTCCAAATTCAGTTTTCCATATATGTTTTATATATGTTTCATATACATGAAGTTATACCTTCATGCATATGGAAGATTGATTGCAAGAGACCAGGCAAGATTCTGGTCGTGTGATGTTGGCAGAGTCTGTGAGTGAGTGTCCGGATGTAAATTGTTACTCTTCTGCCCACATTCAATAAATGGCCGGAATGTGCATCAGTGACTGTGGCGCTCTTTTTCCACGTGCACAGGCATTACGGTAAGTTTGTTTATGAGTAAAAATAAAAAAATGTGATAAAGCAGGGGGTTGAACGGTGAACTGTGATATCGCGTGGAAACACTGTATCCACGTTACAAAACATATGCTTATATTTGATGCCACTTTGTCAAATACCCCAGGGAATATGGTAGATTCTGTATGAAATGGTTGTAATTCACGAATGATGAATGCCATTTTATTTGCTTTTTAAATACACTATATTTGATTACGTTTGAAGGCAGCAAAATCCTCATGACAACACTTGTCACTTCTGAAAAAAACAGCAGATAGTATGGCGGTAGTTCGCCATATTCATATGACACACACACACACACACACACACACACACACACACACACACTACCAGCACAGGTGATGATGATGGTTACATTTTCAAGTATGGGAATTGTCCAAATATAACCTAATTGAGAAATTGGAGTCACTCTCCATAAAATGTGAACTTCTGAAACGTAAATGGCACATTTCTCCAAAACCTCTTAAATTAACACCTACAGTCGAGACTACAATGAAATGGCGATTTTTTTAAAAAAGAGAAAATTCATTGATTGGACGACTTCATAAAGAGAGCATTACCACTGTGTCGCTGTCTGAACAGAACTGCAGATTCTGCGATTCTGTTGTGGCATTTATATGCACCATTTGTGCAGTTGCGTTCTACCGTGGAACGAGAGCGTCTCCAACTTCCACTATAGATAGATAGATAGATAGATAGATAGATAGATAGATAGATAGATAGATAGATAGATAGATAGATAGATAGATAGATAGATAGATAGATAGATAGATAAAAAGATAAAACAGAATATTAAAACTCCAATGGCTGGCCCTACTTGCCATCTACACATTCTCATACGGATCGATATGCATCCTTCCAGGACCTCAGTGTGTGCGTGCGTGTGTGAATGTGTGTGTGCGCGTGTGCGTGCGTGTGTGAATGTGTGTGTGTGTGTGTGTGTGTGTGTTTGTGCGCGCGTGACATTTCCCTTATAAAGACAATGATAAAAACATGTTATTTCTTGCAGGAAAACACGCACAGCCCAGCATGAAGTCACTCACGTCAATTAGCAAAGAATTGCGAAAGCAGCAGCACGCTCATTTCTTACGCGCATGTGCAGTTAAGAGACTTCAAAATAACCAAAA